CGAGTGTTCGCCAGGCACGATCCTCTCGCGTTATGGATGCTGATGGGAAAGGCCCTCGACCAAGTTCGGCTGGAGCCGATGAACTGAGGAACGACTTGCAAGGCTCGACAGACTTGATGTTTGGGCAGAATGATGCCATCACTCTGGACGATATTCCCCGTATCGTTGCTGTGGAGCAATCTCGGGAGCAACAACAGCGTGACCGAGACGCTCGTCAAGATATGTTCCGCGGTCCCGGAGTCGACGGTATGCGACCCCTCGGTCATCAGAGAACTCAGTCTGCCGGTAGAGACCCTGATATGCGTGCTGCCGAAGCCATCCCCACGCGCGTGGTTCGCAAGTTCTTTCCTGAGCTATCCGGCCTCGAATACTTTAACGTCCGGCACTTGGCCGTGTTAACAATGCATCCCTTGGTTGAGCAAGAGTTTACGCTCGACGAGTTACTGAATTTTATTGAATCACGCAAACAACCAACATTCTGGAAGAACCTCGGCAAGGCATTTAAGAACGACAAAAACAAGAACATAAAAAAGAAGGGTGTTTTTGGAGTACCCCTAGAAATCATCATCGAACGAGACGGCGCCGACTCGACTGATGGTGTTGGTCCTGGAACACTTCGGATTCCTGCAATTGTGGATGACATTATTGCTTCAATGCGCAAGATGGACTTGTCGGTTGAAGGTGTGTTCCGAAAGAACGGCAATATCAAGAAGCAACAGGCATTGGTCGAAAAGATTAACCAGGAGGGCTGTGACGTTGTTAATTTCATGGAGCAGCCTGTTGTTCAACTGGCAGCGCTGCTAAAGCGGTACCTTCGAGATCTCCCCGATCCTCTCATGACGCACAAGTTGTACAGCCTTTGGATTGCTGCGGCAAAGCTCCCAGATCTGGAGAGGAGAAAGCAGTGCCTTCACCTGACTTGCTGCCTCTTGCCAAAGAGTCATCGGGATAGTCTTGAGATTTTATTTTCCTTTTTGAAGTGGGCTGGATCTTTTCACCAACTTGACGATGATGTCGGATCCAAGATGGACATCAGAAACCTTGCCACGGTCATCGCACCGAATATCTTGACAAACCCAAACAAAGCGCCCGCTTTGGATGGTGAGGCTATATATGTCATTGACGCTGTGGAAATGCTTATCAACAATATTGAGGAGATGTGTCAGGTAAGTTGCTATCCCATCATGGAGTAGATCCAGGCCGCAGCAGTACAACGACAGGAACCTCGTAACTGATTATGTTTAGGTCCCTGACGATTTATTAACATTGCTCAACGACCCTTATATCTTCAGCAACAGCGGGGAAATCACGACAAAGGAGATTCTCAAGCGATTCCAGGATCGGAGGGATCAACTACCAGCTGTTGACATCGGTGAAGTTTACAATAGACAGGATGTGTCAACCCGATCTCCTCCTAAGCGGGTGGAAACCGATCCGTCCATTTGGCAAGGTGAAAGAACAGTACGCCGAGTCCAAGATACTTCGGCACCACCAGTCAACTCTGGCCAGGCGACACCACCGCAAAGATGGCCGGGCCCAGGGGAGCATGCTCGAGGACCATACAATCCTAGGCTCAACCACTCTGACAGCCATCTGGATGACACGGACGTCCAGCGTGGTGACTGGCGCAACTCAGCCTGGGGTCGTCGGGGCGGTGGCCTTGGTGTTGGTGGGAATTCATGATCAGCGTTAACGCTTTCGGGGTTTTTTACAATCTCGCGCCCCCCACGTGCAGCTGAATTTAGCCTTGGCGCTTTTGTTCATTCAAAAAAGCATGGTTTGGGGTGTAGCCATATGCATTATCAACGGCGTTACATTCTCACTTTGGTCATTCGATAAATCACAAAAGGTCCCCCATATTTTTTGCTTTCTCTTCGCCAGTACTTGTCCCCCTCCGGCCTTCTTAGTCATCATCATACCATCCATCATCGATAACGCGGACATGACTATCTTCGTGGTTGTTTGCACATCCTTTCATTAATCGACTTTGCTCTTGCTCATCGGGCATTTTTTTGAAGGAGCTTGTGACGACAGAATTGCCATTTTTCTCCTGTGTTTTTTTCTCGAGATTTTTGTCGGGCTTGTCTTCATATCAAATGAGGCAGATATCTCCCTTGGAGCTGGCGACGTTCTCAAATTCTTTACCAGTCTTCGGAAGGCGTTCTCAGTAAATGCATACTCGAGCGTGCCAAGGAGGCCCTTTGTCCTTTTTCTTGTTCTGGCGAACTGTTCTTTCTTTGGGTGAAGCCGTTCCCTGTAGTCGGCGATTGTGGTAGTTACACCTCACTTCAGTTCAGCATGGCGTGTCGTGGACCAACTTTTTTTTCCATTTCTTAATGCGAGGAGAGGAGGAGAACAAAAAAGGGGGCGTTGTTACACCAAATGCTACGCCTTGACCCCCTTTTTGTCTTTTAAAGAAATTCTTTTCCTTCTTTTCCCCCTCTTTTTTTTAAAAAAAAAAACCATTCTTCAATGTTTATCCTTTTGTATAAAGGATGGGCGTTTGAGTCACTTAGTGGCGAAAGGATTGTGGAGTGAACGCCTGGGATGTGGGAACTTTCATAGCGAGACATTGGTGATAGGTAGTATTAGGCGGCCTGTTGGCAGCAAGCAATAGAGGAGATGAATGCGCTCCGCGACTTTGTGCATCACGGTTACTCGTGAAGTGTGCTGTGTTGGTGGACAAGTGTGTACTTGGAATTGGTGGAAGCTATTAAGCGCCGTAGGGCATTATCTCTTGTTTAAAGACGTCCATGCAGTATTCCTCCCCTTTTACACCCTCTTGACCACTACCCACCCCCGTTCCCTCTCCCGTCAATACGTGCTCATTCACTTGGGCCGCTTCGTCCAACTAGGCCTTGTTCTCGCTCTGCTTCAAAAACCAAGCCACGCCCCTCGCCACACCCTCCTGCAACGTCCACAACGGCTCATACCGCAAGACACTCTTCGCCTTTGTAATGTTGTAGTACCGCGTCATGCTCGCCATATTCGCCCGTGTCCTCGTAAACGTGGCCGGTTTCCCGATGATGCTGAAAAAGATCTCGCTCAGCATGCCTAGCGCCAGGCTGGTCCCTCTGCTGAACGCCCACACGCCGCTGATGCCGGCGTCGCTGCCACAGGCCCGCCACACGGCGCGGGCAAAGTCCCAGAAGTAACAGGGCGCGTCGTTGGTGATGAAGAAGACCTCCCCGTCGACCTTTTCGTGGTCCAGGGGCTTGGTGGCTGATGAGGCGGTGACGAGGAGCGCGTGCGCGGCGAGGAGGTGCGCATGCGCGACGTTGCCGACGTAGGTGAAGTCGAAGATGTTGGTGTTGTCGCCGAGCTGGATGTGCGACTTGTTGATCTGGTAGGCTTTTACAAAGCCATGCAGGGTCTGGACGTCGCCCTCGCCGAATATGCCCGCCGGGCGGAGGGACGTGGTGAGGAGCTTGGACGGCGGGGAGCGGTTGGCCGCGAGGACGAGCTGCTCGGCCGCCGCCTGGTTGTTGTGTTGGTATTAGCTTTTCTGTTTTGATGCGAGGAGTTGGATGGTGAAGTTTCGTGATACCTTGGTCTCGGAGTAGTACTCGGTCTGCTGGTCGCCGCGGATCACGGGCCACCGCTCGTCAGCGTTTCTGAGGTCGCTTTGGTTGTCGCTAATGACGCTTGCGGAACAAGTGTAAACTAGGGCCTTGACGCCAGCCTTTTGGCAGGCCTCGACGACGGATTGCGTCCCGTCGACGTTGACCTTTTTGTATAGCTCTTTGGCGATTTTTGTCTCGCTGCTAAGGGTTGGGCTGGCGGTGTGGATCACCACGTCGGGCTTGAGATCCTCGAGGAGGAAAAGTAGGCGCTCGCTGTTGGTAATGTCGCATTCATGATAGGAGGCGGAGGAGTTGCGGTTGTGCTGGCACCTGAGGTCGATGGACGTGACGGATTGGGTTGTCCATTGGGAGAGGGCGAGGTTGACGATGTGGTGGCCAAGGAAGCCGTTGCCGCCGATGACGACGACGCGGCCGAGATCGCCACGCTTCGACATGCCAGTTGTTGGTTTGGGTTGGGTGGTACCTACGTGGTTGTAAAGGGGGGTTCGGAGAAGGATTGGATGGTGTTGTTGAAGGCGCCAATTGAGGTTGGAGATTCAAGTGGGCGGGTCGCAGCGGCTTGTCTCATTGGTGCGTTTGCGCATGCATCTCGGCCGAGAAATGCATACCACCCGACGACGATTGGTCGCCGACCTGACCTGACCCGACCCGTTGTGAGTGACTGACCTCACCTGACCATTGCGCTTGCCCATTGCGCTTGCCCATTGCGCTTGCCTAACCAAGTCATCCCAGCCTACGGCTAACCCTAACCCCAACACTTGCTCTAGATATTTAGATTTAGTAGCTAGTAGTGGTCGGGTTAGGTGAACTACAATGGTTAGGTCGGGTCAAGCAATGGCCGGGCCATCTACACTCGCATCTGAGCCTGACTACCAGGCAGTCGATTGGTGCTTTTCTTTCTTTTTTTTTTGCAATTCTTTCGACATGTTACCTTGCGGGTGCCAGACACATGGCCAACGAACATCAGTTACATTGGATGCAATAAATGAATATGTCCAACCGCCACGCTCCAGACGGTAGCTCGTCCATGCATGACCTGGTACCATTCCGGGCCGCCCTTTGCCCTCTCCGTATACACTTGCAGAGGTTCAGGAATCAAGTCATGCCTCTTCGTGTCCAGAAGTCGCGCAAAAAAAGCCACAACGTGGGCGTCCAACACTGTGGGCGTCGAGCCAAACAGCCATGGACTAGACTCGTCATGCATCTCCCACAACCCCAACAACGTGCTGCACAACTCGCGGGTTTTTTTGTTCGGCCACGTGCAGCTTTTCTAGTGAAATGGCATCCTCTGTGTACTTCCGGTGGCTTATTTTTCGTTTTTGATGTTGTTAACTAGGCTCGGCAGATGATGCAAAGTGGACAAACGCAAATGCACACAGAGCAGGAACCTTGCGTGCGATGTGACCTGTTAGTATTTTAGCTGTAGTTTTGAGTGTCGGTTGTGGTGGAGTATGTGTATGTGTATACTTGGCCCTTGGGGTTGATCTTGGGGTATTCTTCTGAGATGTTTCCGTAGCGGTGGAGGTTGACGAGCTTGAGGTCCAGGCGGGATTGATGGATCAATGGGGCATCTGTGGGCAGGTGTGATTTGCCAAGTATGTATGTGAAGCGTGACATGATGGAGTATAAACTGAAAGGGAACATGTGAAGCGTGTAGTGGTCGACGGCGGATGGCTCGTCGGTTGGAGAGGCGGACGTCGGTGACATTTCGGGAACCATTTCAACGACAGTTGTGCGCAACGCAGAAGCTGCTCGGTTGTTTGGTGGTTGTGATTTGAGTTGGCTTCGATGTTGAGGCTCTGCACCAAGTAAGCAGAGGTGGGGAATCCGTGCCTAGATTAGCGAACACTTGCATGTTGGGCAGGTCGCACAAGCTTGTGATGTATTGACGCCTTGTTCTAAACTGGGCATGAGGGTGTTTGAACTAGCAGGGCTGCCGTGCACAACTTGTTGCGTTTTTGCACAAGTTGTCACCAAATGCGGAATGCAATGGCATGGTTTTGGAATGCTGAGAAAGTACAAGAACAAGTTCGAGTACATGCTCGAAAACATGCTCAAGTACTCCGTACACGTTCGCGCCTTGCCAGACGGCTAGCGTGCCCCTCCACCACATTCAAGTCTCAGATCCGTCACGACTCACGACGCCAAATCACTCAAGCCGTACAGCTGCCTGTAAACCGGCATCAACACGTCAACTCACAACGCCCTCCAACATGGGAGATATAAACCGCTTCGTCAAGACTTCAAATCCTGAGAAACAGGTCCACTTGCCACCATCACCGCCTCCAGGCAGCCCTCAGCTTCCCCTCGAGCCACGAACCTCCTCCTGCCCCGCGCTCTTTTGTTCTACCAGCTCGTGAATATCTATAGTTACACATATATACTGTATTCACCCCAGCTTCAGCCTCACTTTCAACACCGGCTCATTCACTACGTAATTGCCCATGTTCGCCATGACCACCGTTTCAACACAACCTGCAACCTTGACCGCCACACCATGGAACCTCACGACGTCGAGATCCTCGTGCACGTAACCTCGCCGAGCAAAGTCTCCGATGACGACACGTACAGACGCCTCGCGCGGGCATATCTCGCTTTCCAACCCGGAAGCAGAGTCGACATCATCGCGCCCGCAACACTTCTGCCTTGTCCAGCAAGCACATCACAAACACCATCACTGAATCAGCGCCATCGTGTTTTACACACGTTGCCAGGGCCGCCCCCGGAGCCCAGCCAGGACTACGTGACGCCGACCGTGGAAGAAGCCTTCTGTCCAGAATCCCAAGACCTCAGCTTCCAGAGCGCAATAGATAACCGGGCTTCGCCGCATCTACGCGCAAATACGCGCTCTTCCTCACAAAGACGGCCCCAAATCGCAACTCCTTCTCCGTCGTCGTGGAATCCGCCGCCCAGCCAAATAAGCGACTCATACCCGCTTCCCGACGCCGGCATCATCAACGTCACGCCAACTCGAGTCCTGCAGCGCTATCTCCAAAAAACGCCCTCGTCAAGTCCTCCGTCCCCCAGGGACCACGTCAGAGCCGCTTCACCAAGAAGCAGTTTTGACCTCATCAACATCCCCTCGTCGATACCCATCCCTTCCGACAACGAGGCCCCAATCCATCTCCAGCAACCCGATATTATTCCCGTCACACCCCATCTCCCAGCCGGTCTTCACAAACGTCCCCTCCAAGAAGACGAGGCTCTCGACATCACCCACATCTCCAGCAGCTTTGTGTCCTCTCCCCGTGCTGAATCCGCACCACCCCCAACCAAAAGCACCAAGGCCATCATCACCGCTACCACCGCGCCCCAAACAGACATCCCCCTCACCCGCAGCACATCCGACACCGGCCCAATCCGCTCCTCGGACCCGTCCGCTATAGAACTCATCTCCCACACACTAGACATCAGGCCCCCTTCTCCAGAAACGTCAACAGACAACCTGGACCCCACGTCGCTCGTGTCGCCCAAGCTCGACAAACTCTCCCGCGACCTATCCACTCGCTATAAGCCGATATCAGCCCGCCAAATCGACCCCTTTGAAAGGGGCTACTGGCTGGTAGACTGCACGTCGTGGTCCGACCAGACTCGTCTTGATACGTGGGTGTTTCTGACGAATTATCTGAGGAGCGGACTGGCTGGGTGGGGAGTCTGGTGTAAACGGGACAAAATGCATGATTGGATGCGGTTTTATTGTTGGGGATACGTGGCGAAACATGTTTATCTGTTGATGTATCTTGCTAGTGGGAGGGAGATCAAGGCCACGGGGGCGCGGTGGTTTGATGCGGAGGGGGAAGTTGTTTTGGAAGTGGAAGGGGTTGGCAAAAAGTAGTTTCTTTTTTCGGGAGCCTTGTTACTGGGTGCATAGCATGGTGTTGGTTGGATTGGTCTGCGTTGGGTTGCCGCCGAGCATCGGGGGACCATTCAATAGCGTTGATTTACGCACACGTATACACGGGAGTTTAACAATGTTAGAAATGACGAGTACATTGCACGGGTTGGAACGAGTAAACATGGCATTATTCCTTGCCAACGTACAGTAAATAGACAATAACTCAGGAAACCCCAGGTGAGAAAAAGAAAATCGGCAACGGCTCTACGAGGCTAGACACAGCCTCGTCTTGGCCGGGAGCTGAACCAAGCATCTACTACATTCTTCTGCTTCTATTCTCCGTTATGCCGCAAATAGACATCGCAGATGGTCTGATTGGACAGCCGCACTCAAGCATGGCCAAATTGTTTCTTTGTTTCAGCATTTCATCCTCTCACAGAAGGCACTTGCCTAGCAACACCTCCCTGGGCCTTCCAATACGCCCTAGCCTTCTCCTTCAACTCCTTCAACAGCGCCGCTGACTTCTCCATCTCCGAGGCCGCCGCCTCCTTGAACGGCTGCTTCTCCGACTCCGACATGGATCGCCACTCCTCACTCATAGCACGGAACGTATCCTGTACCGTGCTACTGCCAGATTGGCTGTTGACCTTGGAGAAGCGAGACTTGATGAACAGCGCATAGGCACTGCGAGCACGCTTGGGCAGGCGCTCATCATGAATTAGGTAGATGCGCGACTTGTTGGTCTTGCGGGCAATGCGGCGTCTAGCAATGTTTGCCATGTAGATAGCCTCCACGGGGTGTGCCTCGACCCACTGCTGGCGGGTGTTTTTGTTGGCATCGTGGTTGGATTGAGCGGTAGATTTAAGGCCCTGCATCTGTTAGCATCTCTAATGACTGTGTATGTCTTGTCTCCCACAGAGTGCCGCGACTGATTTTCCAGCTGACGCGTTCAACCAAATATAGACGCGTCAATGAGCAAGGGCGCAACATACCTCCTTCTCCGACTCCGACAGCCCAGCAAACCTGCTAGAAATCCCCTTGATCCTCTCTGTCAATTTACCCTCCCCAGCACCAATATTGTTCGTCACATAGACGGCCCAAGCCGACTCGGGTAACAGGGTCGGTCCCTTCAACAAGGCCATCTTCTTCAGGTGCCTCAGATCCGCCTTTTCTTTCTCCTCAGGAGTCAATACCTTCTTGGTTTGTCGTTTTGGTGCAGCGGCCTTCTTAGTCTTTTTCTTGGTTGCAGAGGCCTTCTTCGTCGTCTTCTTCTTCGTGGCTGTGCCGGTTCTCTTGGTCTTGCTGCCAGAAATCTTGGCCGGCGAGCGCATCCACGCCGACACGGTCAAGGGCCGGGCGGCGACAAGGAGAGTCAAGGCCTTGGGGAGGCGGTAAGCCACGGATCCATGAGGTAGTTGTGTCGTAAGTTTTGATGCGGCTATTTTGCTAGGGAGCAGGACTCTGCGGGCGGCAGCCCTGCCGATCGCTGTCAGCATTGTTGTTAATTTGATTTGGTTGAGATGGCGTGTAAGTCGGTAGCCTGTGTGGGTTGTGAATTGACGAGTTTGCGATGAATTGCAGATTGCTGTCAATCCGGAGATGGGGCAACTCGCGGCGTGTGCGTTTGGGCACGAGACAAACAGAGAGCAGAGGAGCGTTGGAAGACGGGCGTTTTAAATGAAATGGAAGAGGGCTGGGGTCGCTCTAGCTGTCCGCCTCCCTTGTTCCAGGGATGAGGAGCTCCTGCAGCTCAGCCATGCAAATGCAAGCAGCAGCTACCTAGGTACGTAAGCCACGGTAGTACCCAGTACTTGCAATAAGGCGAGGACACGCTCCTGCTGTCTAGTATAAGGTACTGATTAAGCTCTAATCTGCTCAAGAGCCAATCAAATGCTCTCACCGGATTACGTAATAGGCTTAGCTCCAGCAGTGCCTCAAGGCCGGTAGGCTCCCGCAGGACGCTCAGTCCCATTGAGCAGCAGTCAACCACGGCTCACATCATCGAACTCCATCCATCGACAACATATCCCACATCTCAACCGCCAGCCTGCGTCGCTCGTACATCAATCGAGCACCTCCTCCCACACACTCAAACTGTTCTCTTTTATCTCAGCTTTATCTTCTACCTTCCCACTTCACCAGCCATGGATCACCGACCGCAAGCATGGGGCAGGGTACGTAGTTCCCTATACTCATTTCTCAACACCCAAGCGGCCAACTGACCCTCATACAGCCCAGAGATGACATTTACGGTGCATACGACGCCTCATTCATGAATAGAAACGGCCCTACGACACACACCCAGCAGCCTATCGTCACAGGAACGTCCGTCATTGCCATCAAGTTCAAAGACGGTGTCGTCATGGCAGCCGACAATCTGGGTGAGTTTTGCCCTCTCGAAGCGCGGCCCCCATCCTCTCCCTTCTTTTGAACCTCCCATGCAGAAACGCCCTTCTTCAGAGTGAAAATGCAAACTAACAATCTCCAGCGTCGTACGGCTCTCTCGCCCGCTTCACTGACGTCAAACGTCTCCGCCCCTTTGCCGATGCCTCAGTCGTTGGCTTCAGCGGCGACATCTCGGACATGCAGTACCTCGACCGCCATCTAACCGACCTCGCCCTCACGGAGGCCTACGATTCCCCTGACTCGGCGCGCCTCAACGCCTCCAATTTGCACCGCTACCTCTCCAAGCTCCTCTACCGCCGACGCTCCAAGTTCGACCCTCTGTGGAACCACCTCCTCGTAGCAGGCCTCGACGACAAGGGCACTCCATTCCTCGCTGCGGCAGATTTGCTCGGAACAACGTATTCCGCACCCAGCCTTGCTACAGGTTTCGGTGCCATGCTCGCTCAGCCAGTGATGCGACGTTACGCTCCCGATGAGGAGTCCGCGGCAAAGCTGACTCGCGAGGAAGCTGTGGATATCATCAAGGAGTGCATGAAGGTTCTATTCTACAGAGATGCCAGAAGTCTTGACAGTTACTCACTGGCTATTGTTACCAAGGACGGTGTGGAGCTCAGGGAGAATCAGAAGCTGGAGGATCAGAGCTGGGCGTTTGCTGAGAGAATCAGGGGATATGGAACACAGACCGTTTGAGTGCAACATTCGAGGAGTGCATTGTCAGGTTCGATGCAGGCAAGCCGTCTTGAGGGACGAACCCCGTCGTCGTTATATGTTATCAGTTGAGAAATCCTCGTTCTGGCTCTTTATAATGGCTAGGGTTGTTAAGGAATCCGGGATCTTCCTTCTATAGTCTCCGAGACAACCCAGCTTGTGCATTACGGCCCTTACCAATACCTTCGATGGAGCTAAAGTAGAGCATAGAACCGTGTACTAATAAACAAGTCTCCAGAACTCTTTCGTGGTACAAAAATTCGCTTTTATTTTTTATTTGCTAAGTGTTCATAAAACCAGGTTTCCAGTATTGAAACCTTGCAAGTGCGCATTCATCACCCGTCTAACACACAGTGCCTGGTTTATTTTCCATACCAGACGCTTTCATTATCAAATGTGCAGTGTACATTTTTGCAGCCAAATCGCTAGTCGTCCATGACAACAAAAGAAAGACATAACTCCCATAATCCATCCAACATCGCTGCGGAGACCATGCAGCTGCAACTTCTTGTCAAAGTCGCTCCAAGAGCAGGAATAAACAAGTACCGTATGCCAAGCGCGCCTCAAACACCCAGCCTGAACTATGGTGACACGCCAGCGAGACACATTAGTATGGCCAATACACGAATGACGTCCATTGTTTGTTGTTTACTCGACAGTAACAGACTTGGCCAGGTTGCGAGGGAAGTCGACATTAAGACCCTCAAGAACAGCCAGCCAGTAAGCAATCAGCTGCAAGGGAATGACGTTGAGAAGTCCTTGAAGGCAATCAACAGTCTTGGGGATCTCAATCTTCTGAGCTTCCGAGTTCTTAAACTCAGGATCGTCAGGGTTGCAAAGAATGATGGGTTTGCCTTCACGTGCAATGACTGTAATTTACAGTTAGCGTGATTCAAAACAGTAACGATTGAACGGCGCCCGCTCGAGTGGAGGCGAAGAAGGGGGCCGTGTCTTACCTTGCTGATATGCATTGAGAGACTTCTTGAAAATCTCATCACGAGTGAGGATCATAATGATGGGCATATTGGCATCGACCAAGGCCAACACACCGTGCTTTAGTTCACCAGACATGACAGCCTCGCAGTGGAGGTAGGAAATTTCCTTGATCTTGAGCGCACCTTCGAGTGCAGTGGAGAACTGGCTACCGCGACCAAGAAGGAGAAGGGACTTTTGGTTCTTGAAAACCTTCTCACACATCTCCTTGATGGGTTTGTCCAATTCCAAAATGGTCTTGATCTGGCTGGACACATTGGCGAGACCTTGCATGATTTCCTCGCGACGCTCCTTCTTGGAAGCCCGGTCCTCGCTCAGGGACAAAGCGAACATGACCATGGCAATGAACTGAGAGGTGTAGGCCTTGGTGGAGGCAACACCGATCTCGGGACCGGCGTTGACGTGGACACCGCAGTGGGTGAGAAGAGAAATGGAGGAACCGACAACATTGACAATACCAACGGTCAAAGCGCCACGCTCCAAGCAGTAGCGCAAAGCCATCAGCGAATCGGCGGTTTCACCAGACTGTGAAACAAACACGCAAGTGTCGTCACGGAATACAGGGGCCTCTCTGTCGAGGAAGTCGGAAGCCAACTCCACAGAGATGGGGATCTCAGCAAGCTCTTCAAAAATACCGCGGACGGCCATGCAGGAGTGGTAGCTGGTGCCACAGGCAATGAATATAATTCTTCGGGAGCGGCGAATGGTTGAAATGTATGACCTCAATCCGCCCAAAGTGACAGTCTTGGCATTAATGTCGAGACGGCCACGCATGGTGTTGACGACGGACTCGGGCTGCTCGAAGATTTCCTTCTGCATGTAGTGGTCAAACTTGCCCTTCATGATCTCCTGGAGCTCAAGCTCAAGAGTCTGAATGGCACGGACGTTGGAGCTACCGTCGGCCTTCTTCAGACGGTGAATGTTCAGGGAACCTTCATGAATGTGAGCAATGTCATCGTCCTCAAGATACAAGACCTTCTTAGTATGTTCCACAATGGCCGAAGGATCGGACGAGAGGAAGAACTCGGTGGGCATGGGCATGCCATCGTCGGTCATAAAGGCACGGGACTGTGAGCGGTGCAGAAGAGACTTGTCGGGAGCTCCAAGCAAGCTGTTGGAGGGAGAGAGGAAGTCGGTGGCATTCTTCTTCAGGGCAACGTTCTGAGACGCGGCCTCAGCGGGGAGAGGAGTGTTGTCATCAGCGTACTCGACGTCAACAAAGTCGACCTTCATGCGTCGCTGAGTCTTGACGCCAATGACAAGCGGCGAACCCTTACGGGCGGCAATGACCTCATGTGGGTAGTGTACGGACTTGATCAACAAGCCATACGCTCCCTCAAGCTCTGAGATGACAGCCTTGGCCAAGTCTGTGAAGCCAATCTGAGGGTGTTGGTCGTAAATATACTTGGTGAGCTTGGCAATGCATTCAGTGTCGGTCTCGGTTTCGAACTTGAAGCCCTTAGCAATCAGAAGCGTCTTAAGCTCCTTGTAGTTGGTAATGATGCCATTGTGAACGATGCTGAATTCCCAGGTAGGGTCCGAACTATGGTGAAGAAGCGGTGAGGTCAGCCAATGGGTTGTCTTGCAGGTGAGGTGGGGAAGCTGTGCTACCAGAGGCAGGCAGAATGCGATGACAAGGACATGCCCAGAGGAATGGGCTGGGTCGAACAAAGGCTTACCGGTGAGGATGGCAATTGACTGTCGACGGAGGACCGTGGGTAGCCCATCGAGTATGCGCGATACCGGCATGTGAATCGAAGATCTTGGTGAGGTCGACATTGGACTCGTCAATAAGAGCCTTGAGCTTAGCAACCTTGCCAACCTCTTTGAAAGCGTAGACCTCGTTCTTCTTGTCCCCGTCGACTGCTAAACCAGCAGAGTCATATCCTCGGTACTCGAGACGGGAGAGACCTGTTATTCGGGCAACGGAAGGTTGGAGTCAGCCTTTCTGGCACTGTGTTTTGATCCGGAGCCGCGCGTCAGCCACTTACCGTTGATCAAGGTATCGAGAATGAACTTGCGGTCCTTCTCCACCAGATAGTTGATGTATCCAAAGATGCCACTGTTTTGGGGGAGAAGCTGTTAGCATTCGAATTGCGCCCGATTGCCGGTTTCTTCGGCAGCAATGGGGTGCAGGCAAGCCGCAACTGGGAATAACTGCAGACTCTGGGTAGAGTTGCTGGCGGCCAGAGCCAAGGCGGGGCACAGCAACAGCGGCGAAAGCTTACCACATGATGAAGATGCCTTGCCCTCGGATGATATTATAATGCTGTGGTAGATGAGAATACGAGATGAAGGCAAGCAGATCAGGAGGTTCTAGACGGCAAATGAGGAATAGCGAGAGATGAATGGATGTTTTGAAAATGGCCCAGGAGGGAGCTGTTTGGCTTAAGTACGGGTGAAAGGTGAAGGGTGAAGGGTGGGGAGACGGATGATGTATGGCGTCGCCAGGGGGGAGCAACACTCAACTCTCAAATCAATCAATGCCAGCCAACGAGCCAACGAGCCAAGGAAAAGGAGCAGCTTGGGCCCAAGAGAGAGAGGCCCAAGAAGACCCACTGGTTTGAGGCTTGGGGCTCAGCTTCAGCAAGTGGGGAAATTCGGAGGCAGGAGGGTCCAGAGGGCGAGGCTAAAGAAGACACAGAGTAGCGACGACGGATTTAATACGAGTGGACGAGCATGACGAGCAAGGCCTGTTGTCGTAGGGGTCTTGGGGGCGTCACGACGTCACAAACGGGGGTTGGCACGGAGGAGTTACTCCATCCAACAAGGAGGACATTGTTTGAGGGCGATGCCAGCTGATGTTGACACTTGGTAGTTTTGCGTTTGGGATTGATGCTCTCCGGCGGCAAAGCGCGGCAGTCAGCACGTATATGGTATGTAGCACTCTAAAGTTGGCACTAAGAACCTTAAGCAGTCGGTTGACTGACTACTGTACTTATTACCTCAGCCCACTCTGCCCTGAATGTTTTGGAGCCCAGTAACCACGACGTCAGCCAGGCAACTTTAGAAATACTCATACGCCTGCAGCTTAATTGTATTCAAGTACTTGCAGTAACTGCATGTGTGCATGTTATAGTAAGTTGTATGCTGCATTGCTGCTTTGTTTCGTAGATCATTATGCTGGCCTTGTTTGGTCCTCCCAAAGCCAACCAGACCCCTGAAGGCTGATCGTAGCACATCTGGCTCCATTGGCCCAATGATCCGCCCCCATCCGCCCTCGCTGGCCCAACAACCACCGCACTTTCCCTCACTGCTGCACCAGACGAAACCGAAATGCTTGCAAAAACAAGAGACTATTGCCATTGCCCTGGCCGCCAAATGCTTGTGCTGTCATCACCTAACAATCATCCCTCTTTGTATATTTCCAATGCTTCTTTCTGGTCTGCGGCCTACCTGAGACGAGAGCGAAGCTCATTGACGCATCTCGCAACACGCAACTCATCTCATCCCAACTTGAGCACGAACTTCAAACTTGCCGCTAAACCTCCCAGCTACATCATAGCGCACGCGTTGTCCAACTGCCACCAATTCCGGAGTGACACCCCTCAAGACCCTTCGCTCTCGACAAAGGTTGCAAGACTGGAGAGACAGACCAGGCCAGGCTATCATTGACCCATGCCCAGGGACCCGTTTGGGATGGCCCTTGTTGGGGTCCATGGACGGTCTAGTTCACGCCTTTTAATCCATCATTGCCCGTTGCCCTGTCATGGCAACCGCAACGTCGAGCCTCTGTAGCCATACCAGCAGCACCGCACAACGATCTCTCCAGTTTCTTCCGTATGTGGACCCTCTTTTCAAGACCCTGACTGCAGCAGCAGCAACACGAGAAAGCTAGTTTGGTCGCCTCGTGGCAACCATCCTGCGTTTGCCGCTCCAATCTCACCGCCGTCGCGGTGTCAATGTCGCCTCTACTGCAATTTCTCCATAGTAAACGCCGCATCAAAGTTCAACACAGACCGCCAGGACCAGAGAAGCTAACTGGTGTAGTTATAGAAAGCTGGGCCGACTAAATATCTCGTCATTGCCGAGAAAATTCTCAACCTTTTATCTTCCCGATACTCTTGTACGGAGGACAGATCACGCAATGACAATGTCCGTCCGGCACCCAAAACACGATTCTGCAAGCAGAAATGCCGTACGACCCAGAGAAAACAGCCACGGTGTTATTCCGATTCGATACCCTGCGATTGTCATGGTTAATGTGCTACACTGACTGCCGTCTCCGAAATCCAGGACAGGTTCACTCAGCCTTGTTTCACGCACAACGTCATTCTTCGTATTCACCTTCGGGTGCCAATGCACATCACCCGTTTCCCTTGCAACATTGGCCCCTGGCTACAGCATTGTTCCTCGGCAATATTGAGAACACGGCTCAAGTACAGCAACCCGCTCTGCTGCTTCTTGCACGCATTGTACTGTCATTCCTGTCAATCCTATCAGTTCGTGGGCCGAGCCTGGTCCAGGTCTCAGTCCCCACAACCCAGATCTCGCCTGCGCTACTGCCATAGCCTCAACGTGGCCCCGTTTGTTGTTCCAAGAATAGCACACACCTTCTAGTAGGGCCGACACACTTCGTGGGCGAGAGCTCTTCTTGAGCTTTGCCTCAAGCCTCAAACTACCTATTTCGACACCAACTTTTTGCAGATCGCCAGGGGCCAGTCGACACTAGCAACCCCTAGCTTGGGGGTACGCTGGGCTAAGCCTCTTGAGAGAAATTGAATTCCCACCATTTTGTGTCCATTTTTCGGCTCTGGTGCTGTATGCGCCATCCAACGGCGCTGATGTCAGTTCGGTCATGTTGTGCACAAGATCTGATGTCAGCATCTTTTAAAGCCAGTGAGGCCTCTGAGTGATCTACAACTTGGGTTGTTGGCGCACACCGTAGCCAGGCATGTAAGACGCTGACCCTCAAGTATAAATGATACTCTTACCAAGTAAGTTGACACTACTATTTTGAGTTACTCATAGGACGATGCTGGCTTTCATCCTCTGCGTTGCCAAGCTATGAGCCATCGATCCAATTTCGGCACATCATGATCTATGAGTGTCACAGCGGGCCAATCTCCTCCGCAATAAATAGCCACGACTCTCTCCTCAGTAAAACGTTGCCCAATAATCTGCACAGCGGCCGGCGCGCCATGGTAGGCTTCTGGATCATCTTGGGGGGAAAAAAAAATCACATCCTTCCTGAACAGTTGATCCAAATCGGTCAAGGGGGCAAAGCCGGCCGTTTTGACATCGATGTTCTGGTCAGCAAATGTTACCGGAACCACCACACTCGTGAAGTCGAGTACATTGATTACTGTGGGGTAGGCGTTGTATTTGAATTGATTGTGAAGAATTGCTGCAGCTGCCGTGACAGGCGCAATGATGGCATCTAGCTCCCGTCCTGTCTTGGCTTCAAAACGGCGAATCGCGGCGAGATATTCCATTTGGTAGTTCCACTTGTCTAATTGGCATTGCCAGACTTGGTTGATATTTAGCTTCTCCAAGTTGGGGTTTACGAAGTCGTTGGTGGTGGGGATTGCTGGCTCGCCTAAGAGTTTAAGTGCGGAATGGATATCCTAGGCAAGCAGTCAATGTATTGACGGCTTGGATAGATGAGAATCGGATCAACTGTCTTGCGGCGCCACCGTCTGATGCATAGACACGGTTTGCCAGGTCTACCGCATAAGGATGCTTGTATGGCTCCCAAGGGAGGACGACGTGGCCTGCGCCTTTGAGTTTGTCCACGACTGTTTGCACGACCCGGAGAACAGGAGGATGTGGAAGCACCTAGTGATGCCGAGTCAGTCTTGATGGCAGTACCAGTCATATGTTGCTGAATCTCAGTCAAGACACACATTCCCATCGCAGGAATAATATCCCAACGTCAGGCCACTGGCGGAAACCTTTGCCTTGACAGCATCTGCTTCACCCTGTCGCAACGGCATAGGGACAACCTTGGAGTCAAAGTTCCACGGCTGATGCTCAAGAACAGCTGTTGTGAATAGCCTCAAATCTGCAACCGAGTGCGCAAGAGGCCCGCATACGCTATGGATCGTCTCTTGGCCCTCCATGCTGTTCGCCAACTTGGCATATGGCAGCCGCCCGTGGCTGGGGCGAAGGCCATATAGGAAGTTGAAGGCTGCTGGAGTCCTGATGGAACCTCCTAATAAAGAGTCAGAGAGTTCTTGGGGGGGACAATCACAAATCAAACTTACCAATGATGGTGCCCTCGCCACCGGAGCTCCCTCCAGACGACCAGTTCTTATTCCTTGGATTTAGAGTGCGGCCAAAGACGTTCTTTATTCTTTCACAGACCATCAAGCTCTGCGGCACACTCGTTTTGACATAGAAGAGGCTCCAGCCTTGTCAAGTAGGTCTATCAGAACAGAGTTGTGTTGGTCGATTTTGCCGATCCATCCGGCATATCCCATGGTTGTTTCAGATCCCTGGCATTTCGTAGTAAGTTAAACCCGACTCAAGGGCAGATTTCGAAGCTACCTACTTTGATCCGAGCTTGGTCTTTCAAAGAGATGGGCACCCCGTGCAGTGAACCAATGGGTTTCTTGTGTTTGGCGAAGTAATCATCGCAGTACCTCGCTCTGGCCAGCGCGAAGTCAGGGAGGAAGGCGTGGAGACAGTTGACCTAAATATGGTAAGGACACTGAAATCAATGAAAAGAAGAAAAAATGGTAACTGCAATTTGTACTTACTAGCTGATGGGCCAAGGCAGCCCGCTTGCAAAAGGCCGTTGTGACGGCCACAGAGGACAATTTCCCAGACGCCAAGTTCTTCACTAGATCTGCAGCGGACGACTCCGTGATTGCCAGCTCTTGTTCAGTGAGGATGCCGCTTTCTTTGGGGACAGACATGACCGAGTCGGTCGAAGGGATTGTCTTCAGCCGCCATTCTGGGGGAATGGCATCTGAGACATGGGCTTTTTGCTTGGCGGCGAGGTCTTGCCAGGTCATGTTGGCTTTAGTCTACGAGTTGATTGCGGAGAGATTGTGGCATGTAAGTGATGTTGTACACGATCAGGCAAACCGCGAGAGTAGGCGAAGGGGTGCTTCTTGTAGTCCTGGTGATTTCATTCTTTGGGCTAATGACGGTTTATGGACATGCAGCGCGAGCGAACCCAGCAAGTCCTTGACACTAGTTTCATAACTACCGCATCTACGCCATCGCCATCGCCATGGACATGGTCCGCTCATCCGCCCTTCCGGACCGCTGCGATGGTACTGATTTTATTCATATGCTGCTTGTGAACGAGCTAGTTCTAGCAGCTTGGCGTCCGACTTATCACAACCCGTAAACTGGTTCGGCTGGGGGCTTCAAACCACAAGAGACGTTTCTATTGGTGATAACCCCGCAATAGTAAAGGCATTCACGAAAACATGGAAGTCGGAGGGCGCTAGGCGTGAACGTGGAGAAAGCCATATTGCGCTTATCAATGACCTAAAGGAGTATCGCAAAGGCGCCGTCTGTTTGGCGCCCGACCTGTTCCTGTTTCTGTCTTGGTGCCTTTATCTGATTGCTGGTTTAGGTATTGTTGTAAGTTGTTTCTGGATCCTATTGGTACTTTTTTTTTTTTTTGACATGAGCATGTCACAGCTTACAGTCTGTTTTTAGTGTTAAAAACATGGTCGCCTTCTTTGAGCTCAGTTGAGGCAGGCTTGGGGCCGTAATCAATGCCCTGCTCAGTGAAGCCAAATCAGCGGAGGCGGGAATGTATTTGTCCAGGCTGCTTTCAGCCGACATGGACCAGTATTCATAACATTCTAACCGGAGACCAAAAGTTCTCGCAGGTATCGACTATTCAAGACTGCTCACAAAGGGACAAGACGAGAAAAGAGTCTGGTTGCGGGGGTCGATTACATATATTACAAAGAGCTGGGAATATGGCTCGGCCCCCTCCACCCGCACAAAGACGGCTTTGAGATCTGACGCGACCTTGGGGCACAAACACTTCGGTATTTACCTGTGAGTGTCGAATCTAGTCACGCGTGTTCCATGCAACAGTAGCTCAGTGAAGATTCAAGGGCTATTTAATGTCTTGGCATTTAGGGTCCAACGTCGAACTGGTTCATGCCCTGTCAGCCTCGAGATATTCCATATTGGACTCTTGCCAGACTACCACCTCTACAGCCTCGCCTGTCATTTGCAGTAAACATCTTTCTTGTTATTGGACTCCTGTTCCTGTGACTCCATGCTCGAGTAAGCAGGAGTGCTCTGTGTCAGTGTAGATTACAGGGGGGTCAGTCCGTCATGTGTTATGGATGTATATTTGCGTCGGGTCCTCTTGTTCACCTTCCGTGTAGTAGAAGTGACGAGTGTTTTGTGCACGGAGAACCAGAGCCAGTAGTATATAAAGAGCGTCTCTCACCCGCAGCTTGTAGACGAGAGAGAGCTCCATCATCCCATCCAAAGTCAAAGATCTCCATACCGCTTCGCCCTTGAAAAAAGCCCGCCCAAAGTCCTATTCCAGCCAGGCTTGTGCATAAAGCCAACATAATACGAATCAACAGAATAAACGCGTCTCATCTCGAAATCCCTTCTCTTTTGTCAGGTATAAATCTCACGCAATGTCTCAAGAATGTAGGTGGCATATTCTTCCGACGAAAAGTCTCATACTAAATGGCTTGCAATAGACACGCTGGCGTCAAAGTCTGCCATGGAGAAGAGACTCTTGGGTCTGCGTGACAAGACGATATTATTTGACAAATGCATTGGCACATATGTCAAGTTTGCCGGCACGAGAGCCACTCCTGAGGACGTTGTGAACCACATTCAGATCACGGCTTTTCGCCGCTTGTTCTTGAAATCAGAGAAAGAACGAGGGCTACAAGCAGTTCACCTGAGGCCCAACTGGGATCTCGTCTCTGCGTTCTTTGAAAACGAACAAGATGCGAAGAAAGCCTGGAGGGAGCTATATGAGGCCAAAGTTATCGACGGCAAAACCTTTTCTGGGGAAAATTATGACACTGACAGTACCCAGGCCAAGAAATTATGCGCCAATTTGCTCAAGGCCAAGCACGTTGCAGGGTACACTCCCCCTGAGCCGACAAGGAGAATGGCATTGGACGAATACGTCGACGACTTTATCCGACAATGCAAAGAGAAAAAAGAGCCCCCGCCCGTGTTGCAAGCGGCTGACCCATCTCAAGTTGAATTCGAAGTGAGTCCGAACATCACATGGGGCAATACCAGGAGAGGCCTTAAGCCCTGACTTTGGTGGCTACGCATTTCACATTGTCAGGAAATTTGCTGGTAATCGAAAGAGCCTGGCCACCGGCTTGACTACTGCTCTTCTCCCGAAGAGAAACAAGATGACTCGTCGGGGGACTGCTAGGCGTAGTCACACTCACACCGTAACATATCTACGGGTTATGGGTAGCCGAACGGGCACCTACTGCCAGATGCGCGGAATGGCTCAAGCAACTGCTTCGCGGATGGGCCGAAGACGGATCTATATAGAGTCTTGTTATTGTTTTTTGTTTGCGTCTGTTTTTTTGTTTTTCTATCGAGCCTTTGCCCACCCGGACTAGCTGCCCTTGAGACCCCCTAAAAAAAGTCAGTTTATTGTTATTTAGATTGTTTAGATAGTAACATGTTTGCTCTTACCAAGATCACTCTATCGAGACAACTCATGCAGATTCTCGTTTTGTGATTGCTCGGGAGACAAAGAAACGCCGGTGCTGTCTTGTCCGCCTACCGTCTCGGGCGTCTACCAACGTAGTTGATACACACTTGCCGACCCTTTCAACCCTTGGATCGAGGACATTTCATACGTCCAGGAAAATATCTGTTACGTACGTGGTGATGCTGGCGAGTATTCAAGAGTAGTGTGCTGAGGCGGCGTGTGACTGGTTCGACAGTGTCGGGAGATGAATACGTACCCGTTTTGATCTTGATGCCCTTGGTTAACCCTAAAGTTGAGAGAGCCATATCACGCGTGTTATTTTGACAAGTACGTTAAGTATATTATTGAGTAATAAGTTATTAATGAAATAAAGTAATAAATTAAAATTTATTGAAATTTATAATTTTAAGATGAAAAGTTAAATTATAAAAGCTTATTAAATTTATTTATACGTAAAGTTAAATCTTATAATTCAGTTTATTAAATATTAACTTTTAATTTATATATGTTAATAAACTTTAAGTTTAATATAGATAAAGTTAATAATATAAATATAAAATAAAGAGTAAATAATAAGTAGTTTGCTGAGGCGGCGTGTGACTGGTTCGACAGTGTCGGGAGATGAATACGTACCCGTTTTGATCTTGATGCCCTTGGTTAACCCTAAAGTTGAGAGAGCCATATCACGCGTGTTATTTTGACAAGTACGTTAAGTATATTATTGAGTAATAAGTTATTAATGAAATAAAGTAATAAATTAAAATTTATTGAAATTTATAATTTTAAGATGAAAAGTTAAATTATAAAAGCTTATTAAATTTATTTATACGTAAAGTTAAATCTTATAATTCAGTTTATTAAATATTAACTTTTAATTTATATATGTTAATAAACTTTAAGTTTAATATAGATAAAGTTAATAATATAAATATAAAATAAAGAGTAAAAAATATATTATATTATTTATTAATTCAACACTCGTTAGATTATCTTGCGAGATTAACGGGATGTTATGCACGGGAATTATAGAACCGATAAATCTCTGCCACGCCTAGTACCTCCGTTATTAAGTAGGGCTGAGAATTCACGGTTGTGCAATTTGACGTTGGAACATCACAAGACAAGTGGTATATACCCCTTTAAACGAATTTAATGCTAGTGTGAAGTATGTTCTTGTTTCTGTGAGTCGAGTGCCAAGCGATAAAGTAACGATTGAGAATAGCCGGAATCCTAACCCCAAGCAACTCGTGATAAAGAATGGGCATCAGATTATCAATGTACGAAATCCACAGCGGCACGGCTCTTGCATACCGTGGCCGAGAAACATACCCCAAGGCTACATCAAGAAGCTTACATATTTTGTTCGTTCTTCATGACGGCTGATTTCACCCACTAGCCCGTAAACCCAGATTCATATCGCATATTACGCAAAATCCTGTGCAAGGCAGCATGGTGTGACAATGCCATCCCTGCCTCGGGTCGCAACGGATGCTTCCGCGAGATATCGAGGCAAACCTTATTAATCGTGCCTGGCAGTATAATGACTCCCTGAACGCATTTGCACTATTCTCAATTGCGAGTGTTTAGAACACATATCGATCGCAACAATGGCGTCGTCTGCATAGTGTAGTCTTTATCATGTCATCAGTCCCAAAAGACCTGCCATCTCTAAGCTTTAAACCGATTCGACTTCGTTCATGACAAACGCCTGCAGATGACTGCATATTTACCTCTTGAATCTTGGACAAGATTCTTCTTTTCGTGCTTCTCTGGTTAAACCCTCTTGTTGACGCGCTTGAACTACGCCACCGCGTATGCCGGCCTCTCCCAATCACCTAACCACTGCTTCGCTGTGTCTGCATAGATCGAAAAAGAGACGAAATAAGAAAGGATGACGTGAAACAAACATTCCCGCCCTGTCCCGAGAAACTGATACCTCGCTGATCAATGCTTCCAAAACGCCTCAAACACACGTGTAAAGCTATACGCAATTGTTGTTGAAGATACAGCATTTCATGACTCATTCGATCGGACTGTCGTATAGTTTTAATCGCCATCATGTCTCACGAGAAGCCCTCTGATAATATCTTCCGTTAGCTAGTAGAAGTTCCCGCGGTGGCCTGTTCCTTCCCTTTACTGGGTTTGGCGAGATCCAACTCGCGGTATAAATTATGCTCGTGCATGTAATTGACGACGTCGTCAGGAATTCTGGGAACAATCAGTACAGATTCTGGTCTGGCTTCTGCGTTGGCGACTAACAAGTAATCAATGGACATTGACCGACGCAAAAGTAATCGAACTTTGGTGGAGCTAATGTCGTTTGATACAACCTGCAATCAAGTATTAGCCATGGCAAATCAATACAAATGACGCAACGCAGCGAGGAAAACGGACCTGTCGAATAACCTGGATGTTTTTCTCCCATTGCTTTCATGCTGCCAGCGCCAAGTCAAGCTCGGTTCCGGTCCGTTCGAGGACAAAGGCTCTAAAATTGCCTAAGATGTGGTCTATGTCTTTTGAAACCCTATGGAATCGTTGGCTGATACAATAACGCTAGATTCTCCGATTGGGAGCATGACTACCAGATAGGGGATCCGAAACTCTGGACTAGGTCCGCCCCAGCGAGCAAGACTATCTTGGCCGGTTTGCGAGTGCCACCGGTACATTCGACGCCTCCCATGACGTGGTTAATCTCGTAGTCAAAATGGTCTAAACCCGGGCGGTAGGGATGTATATATTGGGCTTTCAGCCTCCCACGGGTCCACCATTAACCACTTAGTCGCACAGCTGGATACGGTGGTGCGCGGGAACAAGACCCTTTTTCTTATAGGCGTCTGACACTGGTGAGAGATATCCTCCAATGACATGGAATCCCGTTGACGTTGCGCAACCATATTGGTAAGTTACATAGTCCGGCGAGGATTTCCAGAGGTTTCGAACAGATCCGGTGTGGGACACACCTTCACCGCGAGCATGGTCGCGCGCCATAGGAAACATGCGCAGATGGAGAAATGTGATAGGAGAGACTATTGACAAGTGTTAGCAAAAGACTCATACTCGAATACGGGGATTATTGTTGTCGTGTCCGCCACGGCTAGTTGCTTGACGACGCGTAGATACTCACATGAACCACAAGCAACTAGAACCAAGGGAGTTCTATCGGGGTCGCAAATTCGGCGCAGCCTTTGAGACGGAAAAACATGGCCCTCGGGGGTCATCTTCTTCACGTAGGGAAAGTCGGAAGCCATTGCGGGCACCGGTGGCCGACGAAGCGAAGACGAATAGACGAATACCGAGGTTGGGAGCGAGCTTGCCATGAGAGATTACAGGCAATGTCAACCGCTGGCGTGAGTTGCACTCGTCAGGCCAGGCAGGGCAAGCTGCGAGTGATTATGGTGCAAATGCAGCCAAGCAGAAGCAGGCCGGTCAAACATTACGACGGTAGCCGCTAGGGTTAGCTCTGCATGGCAAATGTAGTAAGATGGCGAGCCGCTGTGACTTGTCTAATCCCAAATGAGCTTAGTTTGGATGAGAGGTGACAAGAACATACGCACCTTAACGATAGTCGCCTTATAACGATGAAAAAAGCCTCACGAAGGATATCGTTATAGACCTGGTTTACTGTAACAGCTTGGAGGAGTCAAGGTAAATCGGCCATTTTGACTTGCTAGCTGCCTGCAAGGCAGGTCAGATTTTAGTTGGCCAAGTAAGAGATGCAATGCAACCCTTCAACAAGTCTTCAGTTCGCATACCATACTTCCAGATACAAGGATAACGACACCCCTCGGCGGCTTCTTGGGACAGGAGTGTAATAGCTAACTTTTCACTGCCAAAAGAAGGGGGGGAGATCACACCTCACGTCTCGCCGAGGAAAGCTCGTAATAGACAATCATTACCGAAACGGCTTGATTGCTTGGCGCGTCGAAGATGCTTACATCGCCCTTGTCGGCCTTGCGCGTTGCTCGCTCTGGCAAGGTAAGATTGTCGTGTCGTGCTGAATACGAAAACGCGAGGTATGCTGCTAATAGGGGCACGCACATGGTCACAAAACAATACAAGATTGCTTACGTGGCCCAGAAGCATAAAAGTCGGCCTTCATGTCCTTTTATAGTCCTGTCCGGAAGCTCTTTATCAAGCTTTCACCCAACGACGGATATTAAGACACTCTCAATAGTCTCTCGGCTGGCACAACTCGTACGTTCCCATCTCTCATTCAGCAGTTGAACAGTCCAAAACACAGCATGCTAATTATAATCTATTCAGCTTAGCAGAATCAGAGGTCAGCGACGTCAACGTTACGATGAACTGCCCAAAGTGCGGTAAAGGCAATATTACAGGAAGAGATACGTGCGAATTTTGTGGAGCTGATTTGCCGAAATCGATGCGCCAGCTAAAGTAGAGTTGGATGGCAATTCGTAAGGGCAAAGAGCGGAGTTTCGATCTGCGAAATTAAAACAATACCAACCATTGGCCAAGTAGGGCTAGAAGTTTGCGGTTGTTCAACACAACTCTGAGTAGCAACAATTAGTGGTGTCTTTTGAGTCTTTGAATTGAACAGTTTAAAACAATCCATCTTATTATGACTGAAATTCTTATATGGGACAGGGATGTGTTGAATTGAAACTCGTTTAGCTTTTGTCCCAAAGCAACTGGAAGGTCTATGTACCGTGGGTTGAAATTGTGGAAGAATCTTGCGGTCTTAGAAACGGTGCAATTCTGTTTCAGAACTGAGCTTATATCACATTAGTATCTGTTATTATTCCCCCAGTGTATAACACCAAAAACTCTCAACGTCGTCGGGACATGTGTCACATCACAAGGTTCATACCTGCTCTCTCTCGTCTGGTCGTTGAAGCCACTGCAGCAGCTTCTCATCGACACTTGGCCATCTCGAGAGATTATAATAACACCGCCAAAACTGTAATCCCTCATCCCAATCCTCCATATGCTCACGCAATCGTTCCTTCCACGAACGGTCATCTTCACTATCGACAATCGTAGTAGAGACGAATTCCCACCAAGCCGGAAAGTACCCACTACTTTCCCAATCAATAATTCCCGTAACGCTGCCGTTTTGAACAATAATATTCTTTAAAGTCAGGTCGCCATGGGTAAAGGTGTACGGCTGGGCCGATGGCATGCGTCGTCTTAAAAGGTCTTGAAGGTCCTGCGGCGCGTTCTTCAAACCCTTGGCCATTTCATACCAGAGGTGTTCGTCAGAGGTTAAAGGGCCATGGGGGATTCCATAGCCGTCCCGGAACAGAAATGCCGAGTATACGGGCTGTTCGTTAATACTTTGTATTCTCGTTGAGCAGAGAGTCCGAAGTTGATGGAGATATTCAACTGTCTGCTTGGCGTAACCATCCTTATCACTTTCAGACAAGTTTAGCCAAACCTCACTGAGTGGTGTGCCGGGTATGCGTTCCGTGATCAAGAAGTGACGACCCCGGTCGTTCCAGTCATCGACCACAACGGGAACAGGTATGGTTGTATTTACGCGGACGAATCGAAGATTCTCGGCTTCTGAATTCGGAGGATGGCTAGACCTGTCTTTAACAATTCTCTGCGAACCAACTTCCCAAGTTGCCCGATCACCGACGGCATAGAAAATTTTGACATTGCTTTGATAGCCACAAGAATCTTGACGCTCAATGGTCCAGCTGCATGCAGCACATGGTACTTGGGCACTCGACATATTTAGACACGAAAGGATGCGGATACTAACGGTGTGATGAGAGGAAATCTCTGAGTGTCGTCTGGGGAGTTGATCAAGCGCTTTTCGTGCTGTTGGTGGAATTCATTTGCGGCTGGCGGTGTAATAAATATTGTTTGTATTCAGACCGAAGAGAAGAGTGGTCTGCCACTTTATTCGAAATAGGCCGTCACATGCTGGCTGGGTGCCTGGGTAAGGTACCAAGTAGTTACGGAGTCACCTGGACCAGATTGAACAAATCTGTCCCAGCCTTCGACGCCCAGACCCACTGATGGCGTTTGGCAACTCGAGACAGTCTTACCCAGACACGACCGTTGCAATACTAACCAAATTTACCGAGACTATATTAGATTTTGGATCTCTAGTTAGCTATAAATTTACTAGTTATATTATGGCGAAAATAAAGCTATACCTTTTTAACTAGAAAATAATTTAACACGCGTATATCTATACCCTTTATATAGTAATATCGCAAAGCGTTTTGCCTACACCTAAGAGACACGCCTTATAGCCAAGAGGGCTGGCCATAGCTAGTAGGCGACCATAGCCAGGAGGCGACCGTAGCCCTCGCGACGATGAATTGCTTTCTTCCGTCCATAATATTTGGAATACGGACGGCACCGGCGGCGATGACTCAATGATGGACAGTGCTATCAGATTAATACTAGTCCACTCTCAATGCAACGACGGCCAAGTTCCATAAAATAAAATTGCAATGAACCCACAAGGTGCCGATCTTTGGCGCCTAAACGACATCCGGCTTCCTATCGATATTCCCTTCAGTTGGTAACACCCTCTATTGGGTCTGGGATTGGCCGAGTGCTTCGAGTGATCATTTGCCAGGAGGGGAGTCGGAGATATATACCAGTTATATGGACATAGGAATTTAACCGAGAGTTCAGCTAAATGAAATGAATTTTATTAGTGGGCAAGATCATAATATAGCAGGCATCAAAGAAGAGCTAGAGTAGAGAATACTTAAGGACCGACCTTCGCCAGCTACCAATGCTTCCGTATCGTGTACTCCGTATGATCAGCTTGTCGCTTACTCCTCGCACTGTTAGTCTAGGAGGCCCTACAAGCCAAGGCGCGTGTAGGTTACGAGGGCGGAAAACTGGTCTAATTTTGGCCTTATGCAAGCCAAGAGCGACTGGTCGTGTCAAAGGTCAAGCATGATGTGTTTTCTACAGGCTGTGAGCTTCCCTTGCAATGGTGGGACGCGTCTCACTAAGCGCCGCGCGATCCCTGCCAATCAGTAGGCGGTGCAGCGACGTCACCAGAACCGCTCGACCTTACAACCTGCATAAAAAGGAGAGTCCCTCCGTCTTCAAGCTCACGTGGTGAGCGTTCAATGATGCCAACGTTACGAAGCCAGCAGCACATAAAAGGGCAGAAACGCGGCGTCGCTTCATCTTCAGACGAAATTACCGTGGGCCGCCAGTCCACCCGCCCTTTAAAGAAGCAGAAACGCGGCCATTTATATTTCCCACCTCCCAAATTCTGGGACGGTCTATCAACGATTCCCCTTACTCGTAACGCAATAAGGGAACTGGATCGGCGAAATCAGCTAAGCAGTCATTCTCCTAGTCGCATACAAACACTTCATACGCCTCAACAGCCGTCAACCCTTCAGCGTTTTGCAAGACAAGGCGGCCCAGACCTTTCCGCGATAAGAGGCGTTAGTACAGCTCAATATTATTTGCAATTTGATGCTAATAGTAATATAGTGTTAAGCCCCAATAGGCTTGGGCAGCAATATGAGCTCCAGTCAATCGAGCCTCGGGCGTCGAAAGAGAGGTTCGCAGTCGCCCGTGAAGAGAACCAGCCAATCCCCCGTTAAAGACCAACGCGACTCTTAATACTACTAGTACGAGAAGCACTGGTCCATATGATCGTGCATTTCAGCAAAATCTCATCGATCATAATATATTCCCAGATGGTTATGAATATCCAAATGGCGCATTGCCACCAGAGCCTGAGAACATGAACGATATACTGCACGTGATGGCCCAGCCTTGACCGTCTTTATCCCCATCTCGATTCTCCAATGATGATTTCAGAAGGTTTAAAAGAGCAGACACCCATGCCTTTAAAGAGCGTGAAATTACAATAAACGTTATACCTTTAATTCAAGGAACAATCATAGATAGCAAGTGTGTTGCTGGAGACGTTCCATTCACAAACCTAGACGACTTAACCGACGGCACGATCGTTTCAGGCATGCCTAACCTGTACCACGGCGCACGGCCCGAACAGCTCGATATTAGAGTCCGCAGAGAGCAAAGCCGTAAGATCAACCCCTCGTCTTAGAGCGATCTTCCAATCCTGGCAAATTTTTTCCTTGAGGCTAAAGGCCCCAATGGAACTCTGTCAGTTGCTTCCCGACAGTCGTGTTATAATGGCGCCTTAGGAGCAAGGGGTATGCTCAGTTTGCAGTCATATGGCCAGCCGGAGCCCGAGTATGATAACAAGGCATATACAATCTCATTAATATATCATGCAGGCACGCTTATAATGTATACCAGCCATCCGATACCGCCACGTACACCAGAAGGAAAGCCTGGTTTCGTAACGACACAGATCAAAACGTGGGGCCTTACTAGCGATGCTGATACATTTCGCCAAGGCACTTCTGCATTCCGCAACGCTAGGGACTGGGCAAAAGAACAAAGAGATAATGCCATTCAGCAAGCAAATGAAAGGGTAAAACGAGTGGCGTCGTTCACGGCCAGCGGTTTAGGCCTTGATTTAGCGGATGAAGGGTCTGGCGAGGACACTATTACCACTAGCCAGGAAACGGTTTTAAGACCTCATTCACATTCACACAAATCACGCTCCTATAACTCCGACACATCTGCTGATGAACTGTCCTTGGATATAGGTGACTGGCCTGTGGCTAAACGGAATAAGTCGCGATTACGGTCGCCACGGAAGAAGCAGTAGGTAGCTAGTGTATCACGGGTTTCTATAGCAGCGTTTTAAGAAAATTAATCACATAAAAATATAGATTTAGGACCTGCTACTCGTTCTAAGAGGTTGTCAATTGTTTACTGCTTGGGAGTTTCCCATCATCTGCTGGTCTGCAATTTATGTCACGAACCGACTCAGTAAAAGCGTCGTACATGTAACATGAATCATGATGTAGTCCTTATGCTACTCCACGCAAATGAAAACTTGACGTTTATGTCATTCATCAATATACCTCGTCACATTAACTACTATATCTGGAGGCATTGAAACCGCGGAGAAGAGCTTGACGGGGTCGTGAACTTTGCTAGCGGCTATGGTCGTATGTGAATGTTTGAGGCCTCGTAATGCATTATATTCGTTTGTATGGGTACTCATGAGTCATGGGTAAGATTTCATGTTATAGTGCATCCATATATATGTCACCAGTCTGCTAGCCTTTGACGCAGATGCGCGTATTCATGGTGTATGACGCGGTAAACTACGGTTCTCTAGCTTGGGTACGGCCAGGCACACTGTACCACTTCACTAGGCCCTAGTGGATAGGCGAGAGGTATTGACACTTGTCAATTCAAATTAAATAAGGCTGCTGTCCTGCGGCATTCGGTTGTGTGTCCTAGAAACACCAGACGGCACAGAAGGAGGCCCCTTGTCCTCAGAATTGTCCTTGACAACCTGACACTTCCTCCAGCTCTTGGGTTCAAATATGCCGTGCACTTTTGCCAACTCAATCACCATTCTACAAGACGACGGGCTCAGACGACAAAATCCCATCTATTTTTTTCTTGCAGGCGCGACTTTGAAACAATGAGCTGCGGCGGGAATTTGTGGAATGACGAGGATGAATTCTTTGATCCACTCATTGCCAATCCCTTGACCGCAGCGGAACACCGTGAGTCCGTGACCTTCGCTTACAGGCCTTTCTATGCGACAAGCTACAACGTCGTTTCTTCGGCACAGAGGAAGCGTTGACGCGAGCAAAGGCCGAGGCAGATGGCATGTATTCTTGGGGTACGAATAATAATAAAGAGGCAGAGCGAGCTTGAGGGAACAAGAAGAAGCTTTTGGGGTGAAGATCTTGGCTAAAAACTGGAGTTGGGAACTTTCCGGCAAATATATCCGGGGACGAACGGAAGACGCGAACAATTAAGCTGCCCTCTATCGAATGTGCGCCATTCGCCCTCAAGGAACGGGGTCACTTGAACGCCGTGAAATTTGAAAATATTGAGGTGCTTGGCAGCGATGTATATGCGGTCTTACTAACGCCAATTAAGATGTGGCATTATTATACAAGACACGGAGTTTCAACATGGCCCGTATGCATGGAGGATTTGCCGAGCTTAGTAAAAGAACAAAAAATATTGTACAATATTAGGTATTCGCTGGTCTTCATGGATTTAATTATTAATATAGCGTTCGCCAGGTTCTCTTAGGAGATTGGGCGGGATTCAGAGTTGTGTTCGTATGTAGAAGACTAAGAGTAGAACTAATTTCTGATGTTTGTTCAGAGAAAACCGTGAGGCTAACAACTTTACAAATTAAAACTAGCAAGGGTCGTTATTTATTCGCAGGCATCTACTCGAAAAGATCTGTAAGGCGCTGGCCCCTTGTACACCACCCGGGTCACGAAGCCAGTCAGATATTCTATAAAGTTTTGAGTTTTGAGAAGAGCCAACAACGTACTGGTCTTTCTCAAACAAGTGCTTTTCCTTCACGGAAGTATTGCAGAAGCTGGCAATGCAAACGACGGCAGGAAAACGGCAGCTCCTATCCAGAGAGTCAGTAAGTGCGGCATCGACAAAGACATTGCAGATGGTTGATGGTCGATCTCTTGACTGAGCGTAGCAGCAGCACGGCTGTTACTGTGCAAGTCTGTGATATGGCAGATTCTATGTAGTACTTAAAATTCGTTGTGTCGCAATTTTGCTCGAGTGATATCGAGGAATAAATGAGCATGTAGTTTGACATGATGATATGATAAATGCACCCATTCAGATACGGTCGAGTGGCCACTTGGAACTGGGAGCACCACTGCAACAGCAGCCTCAAATTGGGGTGAATGACAAAACGCTGTAGAAACGATGCAACGAGAATGGCAACTGAGCCGCTGCTGTCCTTCTCTCGCCAAGTTTTCCCGAGGCACCAGACGGCACTGGAAGAAGGAACTGGAGCCGTGACAGGCAAGGAAGGCACTACCTTCCTCTGTTCCAGGCATAAGAGATTTTTCTCCCACAGTGATCAACCCCTTTCTCTTTTCTTCTCTTCATCATATCGCAGTCGACAGGCAATGGCAGTCAACTAATCCATCTTTGGCTACTACCCGTTCATTCATTGGTTTCCAGTCCTGGTCCGTTCTGGGGGGAATGCCATTGCCAGGGACTCAGCAGTCAATGGGGCCTTTCCTAGGCCCTCCGAGAGGAAAACCTCCCGGTAAATGATGGTCATCATTGTCCCTATAGGTGGCTCTTGGTCTGCACGCAAGCTGGTCAGTGCTTGTGCTGTTCCAAAATAGAGCTTAGATAAAATTTCAGTCGCGAAGCTGGTATTGATAACGAGGGAACATCGTCATATGCCCCCACGACTTTGTCAGCCAGTAAACGGCCCGATCTCGGGTTGTGCTTTGCGATACATTTGTCTGCCCAATGTGATCGATATGTTTTTTCCGCAATGCCCAGTGAGCTCAGTTGTAATGCATCATTGCCCCTTGTATGTAGATTGTGAGATGCCAACGGTGAAGTCGTCCATGCCCACAAGTCCCGATGCAAGCCAAACCCATTTCCAATACTTGTTCCCCGCATGTGTTTGTCTTTGTGCGTTGTGAGAACATGGTTATATGCCACAAGCCCTCCGAAAGGAAAACCTCCCGATAATTAATGGTCATCGTTGTCCCTAGGGGTGGCTGTTGGTCTGGACCCTGCATAAGCTGAGCCTAGATGAAACTTCAGTCGCAAAGCCGGTGTAAATAATGAGGAAACATGGTCATATTGCCCCACGACTTTGTGAACCAATATAAAGCATGGGCGGTAAAACAGTGCTGCTTTGCGATATATTTTCTGCCCTTCTTGGCTGCGTAAGATGTTGACATATTTATATATATATATATTAGCAATCGGGCGAAGCGTGGCGCTGAGAAGGTTTGCTTGGAAAGAAGTTGAGGCAAAGGCAAAATGGCGACAGTCAAGTTCGGCGTACGCCAGCTGTCCGCCACCTGCTACCTGCAGCTGCGCATCTTACCATGTAGGAAAATCAAGTACTGGGCACGTCTGGTTCCGTCACCGACCCAAATACTAATCTAGCGCTCGCCCAATTCTCGTAGCCCAACATTGAAGCTTCTTTCCACACTTCACCTCCCCCCTCTTCCACCGCGCCACCGAGTCCGTCTCTTCTCCGTCCTTGTACTATCCTTGATTCGAGCACGTCAATGCAAGGTTGTCTACGTCAGTCAGCGAAAAGGGGTTGACATCAACGCTTCAAGGTTAAAGCCACGTGATGTTAGCACAAGGTCATAGTGTCAAGGATGGAGTTTGTTAGCGCAATGGTGCAGTGATGTAAGCCGCAGCCTAGTTGCCACGCCGAAATACTCGAGTTCCTAAGTCGTGTAGACTAACTTCAATTGCATCTTTTTACGGGACACATCTTTCTCGCGCCGTCCAGCTCTAGGGCCGAGATTTTGCATCCCATCAGCGCGCTCCAACTCGACGCCTCTCTAGGCAAACGCTGGGTTCGTACACTTCTTTCTGTCCCTCGATACACATCCGGGCTTTTTCTGGCCAGCCGCGTCAAGAGTGTGGTTAATACCGGCCGAATAAGCTGCTGACAAAGTATAAAGGGGGACCGAATGCCGCCGGTACGGAGGCCCAGTCTGAATATAGTTCCAAGCCGAGTTGAAGTCTTCCCTCGCCGATGTATTTCCGCCGAGCATGTGTCAATAACAGGGAACTCGTCGGCGAAACCGTATTTTATCCATTCTGTCGTAAGGTGATCCTCTTGGCGGCTGCGAGACTAGATGGGTAAATGGCTTCCCTGTGTGAGGCAGACTGCGGACGTTGTTGGGGAGTTTGGGCGGGCATGCTTTGACGCTGGGGATGAATTCTGGGCTTACAATGTCACGGCGCCTTTGTCAAGTGGATGATTAGCAATTGACTGTGTCCCGTCATCACCTGCCAACGTCAAACTCCTTGCACGGTGGGCAACTCCGTGAGGACGCTAGAGCAGTAAGAACGGTTCTTGTCACTCGTTCCAGCTTAATTTTCTAGTCGTAGTCTTGACACATCCATGATTCCGGCTCTTTGGTTAGCCTCTAAGCCTCGGTCCAAAGCGCGAAGAGTTTGCATCGACTTCTTTTCGGTCAATGTTCTGACTTACAAACGATGCCATCATCAGCTAATGAAAAGGAAGTGTGTGGACAAACTTTATGGCTTCGTTAAAGTTAGGGGTGGGCGAGGCGAGACTTCTAGAAGCTCGACCAAATCCGATATTCAACCGCAGTTGCAGGACGACGCAACGGATGACTAAACATGCTGGTCACGTACCTGTCAGAGAACTTCATTGCATTTTGGTTTCAGCGCGTGGATGAGAGTTTAGTCCTGTCAACACACTTAGATTTTGATCGTGGACCGAAATGTCATCAACAACAAGACCGAATAAAAGGCAGCCAATGATGTAGGCGCTGGCACATTCGCGATCATGGAGTTTTTTCCCATATTCGCACTCATTTTTTGTCGTGGTCGCAGAGTACTCCTCTTCCAGCAAATCTGCATGATGCCTCTGCCACCTTCCAGTCGTGGCACGAGTTCAACGCTTCCGTCGATCAATGGACATTTGTGCCCGTCACCAGCTGTCGTTCTAAACAGGAAATAAAACAACGACAGGGGTCCATTCAGGGTTCAAAGTTTGTCCTTGTGACATGGAACGTGGATTCTTCCTCTACCTTGCCAGCGACGCGCATCTCGGCCATTATTTCACACATCGCAAGGTCGGCCCCTGCAGTGGATGTCATTTTTTCCCAAGAAGTTTCTAGGCAGGCTTTGCGCTCTCTGCTATGCGATACACAAGTTCGTCAGTACTGGTATTCTAGCGAGGCTGATGAGACCAACTGGCACGGACAATCTTTTGCCAGCATGACACTCTTATCAAAACGACGCTTCAATCACGCCAATGGATCGCAAGGTCCAGTGTGGAGGTATAAATACCCAAGCAGATTTGGCAGAGACGCTCTTTGTTGCGATATTTTTCTACCTTCACCCGCACAATCCCCTAACGGTGAAGCGGATGTCGTGCGCGCTCGACTTGTGAACGTCCACCTTGTTCGCTGCCTATACAGCCGTCCCAGCGACCACGACAGCTCTCAATCGTTGCCTCTGTGCTTCGAAGTGCAAGCCGTGGCCTTGTGGCCGGTGACTTCAGCCCTGTGCTAGCAGAGGATGCTACGCTTATATCAGAAAATCATCTTGTCGACGCATGGCATGAACTACACCCAGATGAGCCTGGGTTTACATGGGGTGGTGGATGGACAGCAGCCCTTTCCACCTGGTCGACTAGACAAAGTGGGCTTGGTTGGGCTGCGGCCATATCACATAGAGGTGATGCATCCAGGCGTCATTGATCTAGGATCGAATGACGGAAACAGAAATACCAGTGTCAAAGATACCGTGAGTGTATGCAATGAGACAGGGCTCGTGAAGCCAAGTGATCAGATTGTGCCTTGGAGCGATCATTCTGGTCTCAAATGTTCCGTGGAACTAGTTGGAGAGTAGGCGATTCATGTATTGTGCAGCAGCCCTTTAGCCATGTCTCCCTGGTCCTACAAGATCCATTGACTTGCCGTTGCTAATCAGCAGGTCGCGGATCGATGGGATATCTAACATATGTCCGACCCTCTTGGGCCCATTTTGTGGCGTCTCCTTTGTGCAACGGCTGAGTTTCAACGTAGGCAAATTGGTCGGGTCCAGGAATTTAGTTGCATCTTGTAACCCGCCTGCAAAACGTTTAATTTGACTGGGCAACCTCTGGAAATGCCATGAAGCCAGCGATAATTCCATCAAGGTTGACGAAATTGCCGCCTCTATTATACATTGCCTGAAGACTTGGACACCATGCACTATTATAGCAGTAGCCAAGCTTATTCGACGTGTAGTTTCATGGGCTGGTCCTCGAGTCAATTTTTGTACGCGCTTTTGTCAAGTCAGCGTTCAACTGCTTTGCAAGCCTTACCAACAAGACTTTCCATGTGCCGCCTGGAGTGGGAGCAGAATCATTCTACGTCAAACTTCTCCTGAGGGTCCGGGTATCCTTGATTTCACTCTCGAGATGCATCGAGCTTGTGGAGGGGACTGGGACAGGCTCGCCGAGCAGCAAGGGCTTACTCCAGACGAAATGGAGGCATTCCTAGAGTTTGCGGCCTCGTTTCTCTCTGGCTCGGGCAGTTATTTTGTAAGAACCTGTGTCAAAGAAAACCAGGACAAGATACTCAGGCGGTCTTCTCATTCAGGGCGACGGGGACCAAAAGTGATTCCACAAGTTTCCGCCGATGCTCTTCGCAAGATGGCAAACAGCTCTCCTCAGAGGGCTGGTCTATTGGACAACATCATTGGTCCAATACTGTCAATGCCTCCATCAAGCCTCGGATTCCCTTATGGGAATAATCAGTCAAATTACTTTCCCGAGAAAGAACAAATTACTGGGGAAGAGGTCGCCGCGGTCGCCCAGGTGATGGAGAAGAATTTAACTGAACCTGAAAATACCCGTGTTAGCAAACGCCATACCGGAGAAAAAGGTTTCATTTACTGTTCTTCAAGCCTCGTCAGAGATGGCCAGCAAACCCAAAGAGCTGTCCGGACCTTCTTTTGAGGCAATGGTTCGTCTCGAAACCGGGCATCATGCCGCCGGAATGTCCAAGATATGCTTCCACCTTGATGAAGCCGCCAAATACGTCTCAAATGCAAGACAAGCCGACATTTTGGCTGAATACATTGAGTGCTTTAGCACCGGAAGCTTAGAGGCTTACCGCAATCCACAGAAGTCGTGGGTCGCTGACATATTCCCCCGAGTAGAGACTATCTTGGGATTCGTGGAACCATATGGAGATCCTTACGGCGTGCGAGCCGAATGGGAGGGTGTGGTTTGCATTCCCGATCCGGACGAAACCTATAAGCTGAAAGCACTTGTCGAGAAGTCTACAATGTTTATCCGCAGTATAGCGATATTCGGGAAACCTGCGGCTCCAAGAATGTCGTCTTCGCCAATCGCATGAGTCTGAATAATAATCGCAGTCGCCCTTGCCACTTTGTGCATCCTGCAGAAGTTGACAAATTCCGGGAATACAACCATATTGGGCCATGGCACTGGGAAGCTGCTGACGGAGGACGCCTCGGGAAAATTCAACTTTGACCCGGAACAGCTGCCTAGAAGCAATTCACTATTCACCCACTGACGAGGAAACCAATTGAGACTTGGTATCGACCAAGACAGACATGGACGAGTGTCTTTGAGAAACTAGCCACATCAGTGGAAGAGTGCAGGGCAATGCTGTCTCATACTACCTCGCTGACAATAAGCAAGTCTTGGACATTTTCAGATACAATGACACAACTCCAATCACGGCAGATGACCGTAAGTAAGCTGTCGCTGTGAAATAATAGCCGTCATGCGTTTGTTGACACCACAACAGTCATCTACTACACATATCTGCACATCGGGGTGGAGGGTATGCCAGCCCTCCGTACATTCAATGTGCGCGATAATATCTGGGGCCAGCCACATGCACGGGTGGGTTGTCGTTTACTCCAAGTAGTTTTCTTGCATCTATCTGACAGTTTGAGCCAAGGTTCGCCATTTTGAAACACTCTTTACTTGACGGCGGCGGCGTCCTAGCAGTCTCACATGACGCACAAGCCGAGACGGTCCATGTGTCTGTTGACCGCTCCAAAATTTCTTCCCACGGAAAGCCATCTCTGGGCAGGATGCTGTGCTGCATCCAAATCTGGCGATGTATTGCGGATGTCGAGTCCTGCAGAAGTTTCTACCAGCCGCTTAGCGCGGCGGATGGTGCGCACAAGACTTGGAGGCATATCGTCGCATCTTAGCCTGAGCCGAGGTGGAAATTTGTTCAGCCAAACACAGTGCTGAGAGAGGATGGTAGGGTTGAGTTGACGGTATACGGGGAGAGTAACGCGGGCATCATTCAGTCTTTTATAGATGGAGGGATTTGAGTACCACTTTAACTCCACTTTTCGAATTCTATCACATTGCTCTCACCGTGTTGGAGCCCCAAATCGCTATTCGTACAGAGTACTCCGGTAGACATGCAGGTATTTTCTTGACCCCACAGAATTGAACTTGGGGAACACTCGGGCCGGGCCGTGGCCAAAAAATGCCTCCACTTAACAAGGCTTGCTTGCACCAATAGGCAGTGCCTTTGGGGGTGTCTGATTTTCCTCGGCCATTCCATTCTTTCGAAGCAGTCTGGTTCATAAACACGAGTGTGAACTGTCGACCCCACGCGCTGCTGCCAAGATTAGTCTTTCGCCGGGCCCTTGGCAACCTTCAGTCCGCATTTCGAGCCAGGCAGATGATATGATAGACTCATTCCTCCGACTTATCTACAGGGGTCCCGGTGCGCTCAGGCTGGCAATAACTTGCATTCAATACACGACGGAAGCAGTCTCTTCCTGGCAACATTTTCACATTTCTGCCGCAGTGGCACACCGGTCGGGGTTGTGCCGATACTCACAATCTCCCCGAGAATGCATGCCATCCGACCTGACCTGACCCGACCACTGCTCTTGCCTAATCAGATTTCCCATGTCCTACGGCTAGCCCTAGCCCTTACCTTAACCCTAAGCCTAGTCTTTAACCCTAACTATCCCTAGGTAGTTGCTTGAGAAGAAATATGAACACGTTTCGCAAGAACATGCACTCAACTTGCCCAAGAAGAGTTTGAATATGACTCTAGGTCCTTTGAATACTAGTATCCTCTGCTTTTTTTCTTTGTATATAATAATTTATTATTATTATTATTATTAAAGCCCGAAATCCTTCACTTGGCGAAGCGGAAAAGTGGGCGAGAGTGACAGGACATGGACTTGTGACGGGACGGAACAAGGCGAGTGACACTCTGAATATGATTCGAACCATGTACGGAGCACCTAGCCATCACAAACTATGAGGCGATTGGAGCGATGCCAAGGGCTTTTGAAGAGGACCGTGATGCGCAGGATTCGACAAAGTTGTTGTTTTGTGCGCGATGCAACACGGAGCGTTGCCCAATATAGCTCGGTAGCTATTACATTACTATGCACCATGATATCAAACCAATTAGAAGCTGATCTGGCTACAGAGTTCTACATTTTTGCGACGTATTACGCAATATAATTATGTAATACAATACATACATGACCCCCCTAAACGCTACAAGAAATACAATACAAGCAATGCCCTACTCAGGCATAGCTTAGTCGAACGGCCCAACTTTACGTCTTCTTTCCTGCTATGCAGATGCCGAATCTTCCTTCAGCTCCAGGGCAAAAAGGAACAGGATATCCGTCTCGCCATGTGAAATGCCCCATGTCATGAGGAAAACAGCCATTTTACGCCCAAGTAACTGAAAAGCTTCAATTTAAAATATCTCTTATTCCTATAGAGGTTCTAGCAGAGCACGTCAAACGTTGCCGACCCATCTTTATTGTACAGTCTTACAAGATTGACACTGGACGCCGCTCTCTCTCTACCTAATGCCCTTGCCCTGCCCAACCTCGTCTAAAGCGTGGCCTCTTGTTTCAAGTTTCATGCTCATCTTACAGCTTCTGGTACTCTAGCTTGCCTTCCAACTTCTTCGCCTCGGCCATCTTGCGGACTGCCTTGTTGAAGTCATCCTGGTTGATGGAATCTCTGTAGTCCTTGATAGCAAATAGACCTCTGCAACATAGTTAGCTTCGCGTCATCTGTGAGGGCCTCTCTGCGGAAGCAATAAACTTACGCTTCCGTCACCACGTTTCTCAAATCAGCGCCGTTCAATCCGTCGCTCATCTTGACCACACTCTCGAAATCGATGTCTCCATCCAAGACAACGCTTTGCGCGTGAATCTTGAGAATCTCCAACCGTCCCACCTCGTTCGGCAAGGGAATCTCAATCTTGCGGTCCAGACGGCCGGCACGTAACAATGCAGGGTCGAGGGTATCAGGTCTGTTGGTTGCCATGATGATTTTCGTCTTGCCGAGGTAGTCGAAACCATCCAGTTGGTTGAGCAGCTCCATCAGTGTTCGCTGAATTTCACGATCAGCACTAGTTCCTTCGGAAAAACGACGACCGCCTATAGCATCAATTTCGTCCATGAAGATGATGCAAGGTTCGTGTTCTTTAGCGTAGCCAAACATTTCGCGAATAAGACGTGCAGATTCGCCGATATACTTGTCAACAATGGCTGATGAAACGACTGCAGGGCACGGTCAGTTTCCAATGAGTAACATGTAGAGGAACAACTGCTATCCGCCTCCCTTTTGAAAAGGAAAAATTCAACATACCTTTGAGGAAGTTTGTTTCCAGGCTGCTGGCCACTGCTCTGGCCAGGAGGGTCTTTCCAGTTCCAGGTGGCCCGTAAAGCAGCACACCCTTGGGGGGCTTGATGCCAACTCGAAGAAAGAGCTCGGGGTTCTTGAGTGGCAGCTCAATTACTTCTCTTAGCTCTCTGATCTGGTCATTCAATCCTCCAATACCAGCAAAGCTGACTTGCCCCGGGTCCTCCAACGACATGTTATAAACGAGAGGATCAACTTCGCGGGGGAGCATGCGCATGATGGTGAGGGTTGTCATATCGAGGGCAACACGTGTGCCTTGCTTCAGCTTCTCCTTGTCCACCTTGGATCTGCAGCCAACGACGTATCGAGGCCCTGATGAAGCCTTGACGATAACTATATTCCCCAAGACGTTAGTGTATCCATGTTTCGGATTGATTGCGTTCGCGGGCAGAGGGTGGCAAAGCGTCTGGGCAGGGCTGTCCATACATCTCTCATCATCAAGCTGCTTCAAGACTTCGCCGATGATTTGGCCCACACTTTGTAGGGCCTTGATGTTGTCTTCGGTGCGGTCAAACTCCTTCTGCAGATCCTTGATCTCTAGTCGGAGATTCTTTAGCTTTGCCTCCCATTCCCGTGACTCGATAAGTTTCTGTCGGTACGAGTCCAGGGCGGCCTGGCGCTCTTCCTCGGGTGTCATGATAACGGCGGCCCACGGGGTCGTATAGTCGTCCAAGGAATTGGGGTATTGGTGGAATTCGATAGCCGACGTCGAAATTGTCACGCGCGTGGAGGTACTGGTTTTTTGCAGCACCTACTAAACGGTGAGGACAACAAACAGGTATCGCGGGTGATGTGGTAGCTGCTTGACCGTCTGTGGTCAATGGGAAGCTTACCTCACGCGCTGGAGCCTTCGGCGGAGCCACCAATTGCCACAGCCGGCAGAAGGTCGGAGCTCAAGACCACGTCTCTCGATGCAACCTACCCTACGGCGTGCCTCATAATCACCAGTCTTTCTTTCTTTCTTCATCCATCTACCGCCAAGTACCTCAAAATGCGATGGGATTTGGTCGCATATCGTCAGGTTGAGTTGAAAATCACCACAAGGAAATTTTTATCGATATGAGTCTTCTTGTCTTGGCAAGATATAGTCACGACTCGTATTCAATCGTAGCAACATTCCACGATTACTGAACGAGCATGGGTCTATCTTCTACCTCCCCAGAGTCCTCAGGGTGTTCTGTTATTCGCAGCGTCTTTCTCCATCCCTAACAAACCCACATGCAATATAGCGACACCGACCACCCTGTAGCTTAAAAGGGTATGGGAAAGATACTACCATCGCTTTTGGCCCAACTCTCAAACAGCTGAATGTGGACAGACAACGCTGTAGTGGTTGGGGCTCTCAAGGTTGCCGTAACTCCTCTTGTATGAAGTCCACAAGCATGTCTGTTCAACATGGTCGTCCCATCCGTTGCTTCTCGAATCATGAACCAATCGTCATGTCAAATAAAGCCGTTTGGCCGTTTCCCAGACCCTACCAACTCAATCCTCCCCTTCCTTCTCTGTCGTCTCGACCACATTGTTCGACTTGGGCTCACCCTCCGCATCAAAACCGAGCGCATCCAATTCGCGAATAAGCTCATTGATCTTGATCACCTTGGCAATCTGCTCAGGAAGCAGCGCCTCTCCACCTTCCTTCTTGTTCCTGAGCTCCTTGGCCTGTTTCAACTTCTTCTTAAGGTTACGGGCCTTTTTCTCTCGCTCTACCTCCGGATCGACCTCTTCAGCCTTTGGTGTCTCCACGGTCGCGGGCTTGGTCTCGGTTGCGACGTCGCCATCCGCAACTGCTTTGGCCCGTTTGCGAGCTTCCCTCCGCTTTGCGTTTTTGTTGCTGGCTGTTGAAGAATTCTTCTCCGACTGCTCCTCCTCTATGCCCGCGGCTCCAGGAATGCCCATTTTTCGACCTCGCTCCCGAAAGGCTTCAGCGGTCCGGTTTTTGTATACCTCGACATCCTCTGGTGGACGATAGCCAGGTCGGATCTTGATGGCTTTTCGGGTAGTTCCATCAGCACGGACGGATTCGGGGATGTGGCGCTCTCCGCTGCTCTCGTCCGTGACGATTCCTGCGTTGGTAGTGGTGGCCTGTGAAGGCATCGCAAACAGCTCGGCCGCAGGGCTCGTGACAAAGGTGGTGGGATTCAGAAGGCCTGGGCAGGTGGGTCGGGTAGAAAAACGTTGTCAGAAATCTACGGGATGAACTGGTCGTAACATATGAACGGACGACACCCAGCTGTCCGCCTCGAAAAGTGTGTTTGCTGCTGTGACAGACGAACTCGAGCATGAGCCGTTGTGTCGATTGGGCGCGGGGCGAAAGCCGTCACATTCCTGAAAAGTGACCCCACATAATTTTATGCTTGGTCGATTGAGTACATAATGTGCTTTATACGGAATAGAATAGTAGACACAGTCGAGTCGAGAAAAGATTCCAATATAGAGTAAGAGTACGTACTAGAAGTAATATTAATAAAATCTTATTCCTTTTGAGACGTCTGAAATATTATCAGAGTTG